CTTTGTGTTTCTCCTTCTCTCTCTTTCAACCTTTGTGTTTCTCCTTCTCTCTCTTTCAACCTTTGCGTTTCTCCTTCTCTCTCTTTTCCTTTGCGTTTCTCCTTCTCTCTCTTTCAAACTTTGTGTTTCTCCTTCTCTCTCTTTTCAATCTTTGCGTTTCTCCTTCTTCTCTTTCAACCTCTGCATTTCTCCTACTTCTCACTCTTTCAATCTTTGCGTTTCTCCTTCTTCTCTCTCTTTCAACCTTTGCGTTTCTCCTTCTTTTCTCTCTTTCAATCTTTGCGTTTCTCCTTCTTCTCTCTCATTCAATCTTTGCGTTTCTCCTTCTTCTCTCTCATTTCAATCTTTGCGTTTCTCCTTCTTCTCTCTCTTTCAATCTTTGCGTTTCTCCTTCTCTCTCTTTCAACCTTTGCGTTTCTCCTTCTTCTCTCTTTTCAACCTTTGTGTTTCTCCTTCTCTCTTTTTCAATCTTTGCATTTCTCCTTCTTCTCTCTTTTCCAACCTTTGTGTTTCTCCTTCTTCTCTCTCTTTCAATCTTTTTGTTTTCCTCCTTCTCTCTTTTCCCTTTGTGTTTCTCCTTCTTCTCTCTCTTTCAACCTTTGCGTTTCTCCTTCTCTCTTTCAATCTTTGCTTTCTCCTTCTCTCTCTTTTCAACCTTTGTGTTTCTCCTTCTCTCTCTTTCAATCTTTGTGTTTCTCCTTCTCTCTCTCTTTCAACCTTTGCGTTTCTCCTTCTTCTCTCTTTCAACCTTTGTTTCTCTCCTCTCTCTCTTTCAACCTTTGCGTTTCTCCTTCTTCTCTCTTTTCAACCTTTGCATTTCTCCTTCTCTCTCTTTTTCAATCTTTGTGTTTCTCCTTCTCTCTCTTTCAATCTTTGTGTTTCTCCTTCTCTCTCTTTCAACCTTTGTGTTTCTCCTTCTTCTCTCTCTTTCAACCTTTGCGTTTCTCCTTCTTCTCTCTCTTTCAATCTTTGCGTTTCTCCTTCTTCTCTCTCTTTCAATCTTTGCGTTTCTCCTTCTTCTCTTTCAATCTTTGTAAACTTCTCTCTTTTCAATCTTTGCGTTTCTCCTTTCTCTCTATTTCAAACTTTGTGTTTCTCCTCCTTCTCTCTCAATCTTTGCATTTTCTCCTTCTTCTCTTTCCAACCTTTTTTTCTCCTTCTCTCTCTTTCAATCTTTGCGTTTCTCCTTCTTCTCTCTCTTTCAACCTTTGCGTTTCTCCTTCTTCTCTCTCTTTCAATCTTTGCGTTTCTCCTTCTTCTCTCTCTTTCAATCTTTGCGTTTCTCCTTCTTCTCTCTCTTTCAATCTTTGCGTTTCTCCTTCTCTCTTTTTCAACCTTTGCGTTTCTCCTTCTTCTCTCTCTTTCAACCTTTGTGTTTCTCCTTCTCTCTATTTCAACCTCTGCATTTCTCCTTCTTCTCTCTCTTTCAATCTTTGTGTTTCTCCTTCTCTCTCTTTCAACCTTTGTGTTTCTCCTTCTTCTCTCTTTCAACCTTTGTTTCTTTCTCTCTTTTCAACCTTTGCTTTCTCCTTCTTCTCTTTTCCACCTTTGCGTTTCTCCTTCTTCTCTCTTTTCCAATCTTTTGTTTCTCCTTCTTCTCTCTATTTCAACCTTTGTGTTTCTCCTCCTTCTCTCTCTTTCAACCTTTGCGTTTCTCCTTCTCTCTCTTTTCAATCTTTGCTTTTTCCTTCTTCTCTCTTTCAACCTTTGCGTTTCTCCTTCTCTCTCTTTCAATCTTTGTGTTTCTCCTTCTTCTCTCTATTTCAACCTTTGTGTTTCTCCTCCTTCTCTCTCTTTCAACCTTTGCGTTTCTCCTTCTCTCTCTTTCAATCTTTGCATTTCTCCTTCTCTCTCTTTCAATCTTTGCATTTCTCCTTCTCTCTCTTTCAATCTTTGCATTTCTCCTTCTCTCTCTTTCAACCTTTGCGTTTCTCCTTCTCTCTCTTTCAATCTTTGCGTTTCTCCTTCTTCTCTCTATTTCAACCTTTGTGTTTCTCCTCCTTCTCTCTCTTTCAACCTTTGCGTTTCTCCTTCTCTCTCTTTTTCAACCTTTGCGTTTCTCCTTCTCTCTTTTTGTTTTTCCTTCTTCTCTCTTTTCAATCTTTGCATTTCTCCTTCTCTTTTCAATCTTTTGCATTTCTCCTTCTCTCTCTTTTCAACCTTTGCGTCCTTCTCTCTTTTTCAATCTTTGTGTTTCTCCTTCTCTCTCTTTCAACCTTTGCATTTCTCCTTCTCTCTCTTTCAACCTTTGCGTTTCTCCTTCTTCTCTCTTTTCAACCTTTTGCATTTCTCTTCTCTCTCTTTCAACCCTTTGCGTTTCTCCTCCTTCTCTCTCTTTCGTTTCTCCTCCTTCTCTCTCTTTCAACCTTTGCGTTTCTCCTTCTCTCTCTTTTTCAATCTTTGTGTTTCTCCTTCTTCTCTCTCTTTCAACCTTTGCGTTTCTCCTTCTCTCTCTTTCAATCTTTGTGTTTCTTCTTCTCTCTTTTCCAACCTTTGTGTTTTCTCCTTCTCTCTCTTTCAACCTCTGCATTTCTCCTTCTTCTCTCTTTCAATCTTTGTTTTCTCCTTCTCTCTTTCCAACCTTTGTGTTTCTCCTTCTTCTCTCTTTTTCAACCTTTGCGTTTCTCCTTCTCTCTCTTTCAACCTTTTCTCCTTCTTCTCTCTTTTCTTCTCTCCTTCTTCTCTCTATTTCTTTTGTGTTTCTCCTTCTTCTCTCTATTTCAACCTTTGTGTTTCTCCTCCTTCTCTCTATTTCAACCTTTGCTTTCATTTCTCCTTCTTTCTCCTTCTCTTTCAAACCTTTGTGTTTCTCCTTCTCTCTCTTTCCAACCTTTATGTTTCTCCTTCTTCTCTCTCTTTCAACCTTTGTGTTTCTCCTTCTTCTCTCTCTTTCAATCTTTGCGTTTCTCCTTCTCTCTCTCTTTCAATCTTTGCATTTCTCTTCTCTCTTTTCAATCTTTGCTCTTTTCTCAATCTTTTCAACCTTTTGTTTCTCCTTCTCTCTTTTTCAACCTTTGCGTTTCTCCTTCTTCTCTCTATTTCAACCTTTGCGTTTCTCCTTATTCTCTCTTTTTTCAACCTTTGCGTTTCTCCTTCTCTCTCTCTTTGTGTTTCTCCTTCTCTCTCTTTCAATCTTTGCATTTCTCCTTCTTCTCTTTCAATCTTTGCATTTCTCCTTCTCTCTCTTTCAACTTTTCTCTCCTTCTCTCTCTTTCCCTTTAGTTTCTCCTTCTCTCTCTTTCCAATCTTTGCGTTTCCTTCTTCTCTCTCTTTCAACCTTTGCATTTCTCCTTCTCTCTCTTTCAACTTCTCTCTCTTTCAATCTTTGCGTTTCTCCTTCTCTCTTTTCTCCTCTTTTTCTCCTTCTTCTCTCTCTCAATCTTTGTTCTCTCTCTTTTTCAATCTTTGTGTTTCTCCTTCTTCTCTCTCTTTCAATCTTTGCTTTTCTCCTTCTCTCTCTTTCAACCTTTGCGTTTCTCCTTCTTCTCTCTTTTCAACCTTTGTGTTTCTCCTTCTTCTCTCTCTTTTCAATCTTTTGTGTTTCTCCTTCTTCTCTCTCTTTTTCCAATCTTTGTGTTTCTCCTTCTCTCTCTTTCAACCTTTGTGTTTCTCCTTCTCTCTCTTTCAACCTTTGTGTTTCTCCTTCTCTCTCTTTGCGTTTCTCCTTCTCTCTATTTCAACCTTTGCGTTTCTCCTTCTTCTCTCTCTTTCAATCTTTGCGTTTCTCCTTCTTCTCTCTATTTCAATCTTTGTGTTTCTCCTTCTTCTCTCTATTTCAATCTTTGTGTTTCTCCTTCTTCTCTCTTTTCAATCTTTGCTTTCTCCTTCTTCTCTTTCAATCTTTGCATTTCCTTCTTCTCTCTCTCTTTCAATTTCAAACTTTGCGTTTCTCCTTCTCTCTCTTTCAATCTTTGCGTTTCTCCTTCTTCTCTTTCAACCTCTGCATTTCTCCTACTTCTCTCTCTTTCAATCTTTGCGTTTCTCCTTCTTCTCTCTTTTTTCAACCTTTGCGTTTCTCCTTCTTCTCTCTCTTTTTTCAATCTTTTGTTTCTCCCCTCTCTCTTTCAATCTTTTGCGTTTCTCCTTCTCTCTTTTTCAATCTTTGTGTTTTCTCCTTCTCTCTCTTTCAATCTTTGCGTTCTCCTTCTCTCTCTTTCAACCTTTGCATTTCTCTCCTTCTCTCTCTTTCAATCTTTGTCTTTCTCCTCTCTCTTTCAACCTTTGTGTTTCTCCTTCTCTCTCTTTCAATCTTTATGTTTCTTCTTCTCTTTTTCAATCTTTTTTTGTTTCTCCTTCTTCTCTCTATTTCAACCTTTGTGTTTCTCCTCCTTCTCTCTCTTTCAACCTTTGCGTTTCTCCTTCTCTCTCTTTCAACCTTTGCGTTTCTCCTTCTCTCTCTTTCAACCTTTGCGTTTCTCCTTCTCTCTCTTTCAATCTTTGTGTTTCTCCTTCTTCTCTCTATTTCAACCTTTGTGTTTCTCCTCCTTCTCTCTCTTTCAACCTTTGTGTTTTCTCCTTCTCTCTCTTTTCAATCTTTGCATTCTCCTTCTCTCTCTTTCAATCTTTGCATTTCTCCTCCTTCTCTCTCTTTCAACCTTTGCGTTTCTCCTTCTCTCTCTTTCAACCTGCTATTCTCTATTTCTTTCCCAATGTTCTAGTCTGTTCCTCCATTTTTGTCTATTCCATTCAGCTGGTCTTTCTTTTTATTCACCAATATAGTCTATTTGTTTCACTTTATTTCAACCTGAACGTCTCTCCTTTTCTCTCTATTCTAGTGGATTTGTCTCTGTTATCCTTTCTACACAATCAGTTTCTCTTTATCTCTCTATTTTAGTCTGTTCATATATATATATATATATATATATATATATATATATAGAGAGAGAGAGAGAGACAGACACACACACAATCTGACTGAAATAGAGAAAATAAGGAAAGACTAGCAAAGTGGAATATAGGAGAGAAAATATATATATATATATTTCTCCCTCTCTCTTCCAATGTGTTCATCTGTTTTTCTCTCTATTCCAGTCAGTTGCTCTTTCTTTCTCTCTATTTCAGCCTCTGTTTCCCTTTTTCCTCTGTATGTTTCTCTCTATTCCAGTCTGTCCATATCTCCATCTTTCTCTCTCTCTCTCTCACTCTTTCTTTCTCTCTATTTCAGCCTCTGTTTCCCCTTTTCCTCTGTATTTTAGTCTGTCCATATCTCTATCTTTATCTCTTTGTTCCTCACTCTTTTTTTCTCTCTATTCCAGTCTGTCTGTATCTCCATCTCTCTCTCTTTGTTCTTCACTCTTTCTTTCTCTCTATTCCAGTCTATTAATCTCTCTCCTTCTTTCAACCTGTTTGTTCTCATTCTCTCTATACCAGGCTGTTCACCTGTCTCTCCCCCTCTCTCTCTCCTAAGGTGTTCGTCAGTTTTTCTCTATTCCAGCTTGTTCTTTCTTTCCTTCTCTCTATTCCGGCCTCTATATTTCCTCTCTATTTTAGTCTGTTCATATCTCTCTCTCTATTTGTCTTTGCTCGTCTTTCCCTCTCTCTCTCTCTTGCTATTTGTTTTTGCTTGTCTCTCCTCTCTCTATATATATATCAGTCTATTCGTCTCTCTCTCTCTTGTGTGTTCGTCTGTCTTTCTTTCTATTCCAACCTCTCTGTTTTTTATTTTCTTCTTTCTTTTACTCTGTTCATCTCTCTCTCTCTCCATTCCAGTTTGCTCGTCTCTTCTTATTCTCTCTATTCCAGTCTGTTCCTGTCTTTCTCTCTATTCCAAATTGTTCCTTTCTCTTTCCTTCTATTCCAGTCTCTCTGTTTCTCGTTTTCCTCTCTATTTAGTCTGTTCACCCCCCTCCTCTCTCTCTCTCAGTCTGTACACATTTCTCTTTCTCTTTCTTCCCCATCCAAATCTATTAAGATCATTTTCTTCATATCTATCAATAGGGCCGCATTTGCTTAATCAGAACAAAATCCATTAGATCCATTAATCGTTCCTTTCCGTTTCTTCATGACTTTCGTCAGTTCTTCACGCGAAGCACTTTCTTCTTTGCCTCTAACTATCACATCTTGAAAATCACCAAAACACAAACGTTTAATCTCGTTTCGTTGTACCACAACGAACAGGTTAATTTCACTGAGACGTTGCCTGCTGAAGATTTCGCTTCCCAGCGATCATTATCATTCTTGTCTGTGGATTAGAATTCTAAAATGGTAAAATTATGGAAACTAAAGAAAGAAAGAGAAGGAAAATTAGGAAGGGGAGGAAATGAAGGCAAATGATTAACATAAAGTGTTATGCAGGAAATATTTGAGAGAAGCAGACGATTTTCCAACCACAAAGAAAGAGAAAGCCATAAATCGTAAAAGGGATTAGCATACATACTATAAACACGTCGACATTGTTTTTAAATAATAAAAAAGCAAGATTCGAAGTTATTTACGGAAGACTGTCGCGTTTATGAAAAAACTAAATAAAAATGAATTCTAGTGTCAAAAAAAAATAATAATTATGATAAAATAATTCTAACAATTTATCGTTAATTCACTCATTCTAAACCAACGAGAATCGATCCCACTTTTCTCCTCTACACATACAAGCACGTGACATGTTCACTATCGGACAAGTAGTACACACGGGCCGGTCGTTAACACGTGCGTCAACGAAAATGTCATCTCCTTTTCCGTTTTCAGCCCATAATAGTAACATTTATCTTTTATCACTCAGCAAAATTTCGAGATAAGGAAAACCTAAATACTACTTGTATTTTTCCTGCTAAATTATCTGGACACCCATCTTTGAAAAAAAAAAAGTAAGAAAAAAAAAAATCGAGAAAGACTGTATACACATTTTTTATTCTTTATCTTATCCTTCTGTCGGATTCCGATCTATATTTGATCTATATCTGACCCCAGACTCATAATTTTACTCAGCATTACCGTCTCTCGTTTTTCCAACACGACATAAACAGATAATAAATAATACTCGTTTTGTTGCTTCTACGTCTTAATCTTTCTCATTTTTATGAGTATATTTGTATATATAAATGTTATAGGGATTATAATTATTTGCTCAGGTTATAACTCCCCTATAAGACGAATTAGCCTGGAAGAGGTTCAGAAGAGTCAGGACCTCGCTTTAATGGAACTGAATAAAAATTTAAAAAAGAAAATCATACTTATTATAAAACCCAGGTTGTGTGTGTGTGTGTGTGTTGTCTGTTCGTTTATATATTGGATCGGATTTCCTACATTTTTCAACCGATTTTAACAAAACTTCACAGAACTACGTAAAATTACCTTACGGTGATTCTGACAGCGCCAAAAATTAGAAAAACACTATTGTTTTTGCACGAAATCAATTTGAAAACACGATTAAGAGGCATCGCTGTCGAGAATGAAAGGGGGACAACTCATATCGAGTTATACTTATTATAAAACCAAGGTTGTTTGTGAGTGTGTGTCTGTGTTCGTTTATATATGGGATCGGATTTCCTACATTTTTCAACCGATTTCAACAAAACTTCCATTTTTTTTGGCAGGTAGTGTTTCTTATTGTCTTGCACACTTTTTTCTTTATTTTTACATTCAGAATGCTTTAAAAATTCCATTTACAAACAATTGTTTATAATAAAATTCTATTCAATCGATAGACTCATAACGATTGAAAACAATGCTTTTGTTTGAGTTTGGGTTTGACTAATTCGTAAAAAAAAAAAAATAACTAATTAAGACATGCGTGTCCGTCAAGCTTAGTTGAGAAGACAGTGGGTCTGACACAAGACGATTTTAACCTGTTCTCTTTCTGGCTTAATAACTCAAAGGTTTTTTTTCAAGTGATTCTTACGACAAATGTGTCAAGATGGCTAAAAGTCCTGTCTGCAAACCTGGAAAAAAGAAACTCATTTAGTTTAGTGTTTTTTTTTTTTTTTGTTTTTTTTTTAGATATTAAACATTTTATGGGAGGGACAATTATGCTGTTACACTCGTTATATATGTCTGTGTGTATGTGTGTGCTATTTATGCATACATTATTCATATATTATATATGTGCAGTACTTGTTGGAAAGCGCTCAATATTAATGATAGCGATAACATACTTAGTTGAAGGGATGTGAGTTTGTAACCCTAGGTTTCACGCTTTTGTGTATGAGAGTTTGTCTAAGGGTCGCAAAAGCATTAAACCTAGGGTTAGAAACTCACGTCCATACAACTAAGTATATATATATATATATATATATATATATATATATCTATATATATATATATATATATATCCCATAAATTCCCAAGAGGATAGAATCCAGGTAGAACTCAATGTCCAGGACAGAGTAAGAATATAATATAAAAGGCTCAAACACTAATATTCCATGGTTATAATTTATTACATTGGAATCGTAATCACGATCCAATTCATCAGACCTACAAATTCAAAAAGAAATCGGAAAATATAACTCCGGGTATAAAAAACAAAATTTTAGTGAGAGTGTATGTGTGGGAGTGGGGAAACAAGTGTGAGAGGGGAAAGTGTATGAAAGCTCTAGAGAGAGGGTGTAATAGAAGAAAGAAGAACAGGAAAGGCCTAGAGGTGAAGGTGGGGATTAAAATTTAACAGAGAGAAGTTTTAAAGAGACTAGTTAAATAACGCTTTAAATGAGTGAGATACAAATAATTATGAATTATTTTTCGATGCATAATTCGCTACCGATTCGCTGACCTAAATTAAAAAAACAGACACCGGAAACGAGTGTATACATTTGTGGTGACATTACGCACAATAAAAACGATATGATCTAAACTTATATATATATATATATATATATATATATATATATATATATATATTCTTCATTATTCATGAAATGGTGGAGTTAGTTGGTAGGACCTTAAGTTGTGCCGGTTCACCTAGGCCACTGGTGCTTTCTATGGCTTACAGAGCGTCGCGAGTGGCGTCCTTTTTAAGCAGTCAGGGTGGATACACGAGTGAGAATTTTTTTGTCATACTTTTGCTTTAGCGGCAATGTTCGTGATTGACTCTTTTTAAATTCTATTTTATATTTGGCGGGGTGGGGGGAGGTTGTTTTGAGAACCGGATGTGTGGCTCGCAGAGAACGACTTTAAAAAAAAAATTAAATGTTGCTTTCTTAGCGTTCACATCCGGCTGACAGATTCTGATGTGGAGTGAATCAGAAAGAGATCTCATTTGAAGCAGAAGGTAACATATTTAAACTATAATTATCATCTATGATTTTGAAAAGAAAAAAAAAAAATTCCAAGTTGACACAAGGCTGACAGTACTTTGTGACCCTTGTTATTTATTTGCTCTTTTTCTACCCAAATTTATATTCGTCGCAAATTAAAATAAACTCAGCTGACTATTAAAGGATAAAAACTTTTCGTGGATTTTGACGTCATTTTTTTTTTCGTCCAAATCCATGAATTTGTTTTGGTCATGCTAAGTTTAAAAAAAGAAAGAAAAACACTATATAAAATTCACTATTTTTTTTTATCCGTAATATTGAATGTGTTAAAATTCTTCAACTTTTTAACAAGAAAAATCTCATGTTGATGTTAAAAATTACTGCAAAATATCGTTGGTTTATTTAAGATGGAATTATCTATTATGCCATGTCTCTAATTTTTGTTTAGATTAATTGTATTTATTTTCAATTTTTCTAGTTGAATTGTTCACCTATATTGCATAGGATTCATTATTGTACATAAATAGGTTACAATAAAATTTGTATTTTATATGAAAATTGAGATGTAGTAAAGTGGGGCGTATAATAAACTCGGGGGTGGCACGAAACCCTTGCACTGTCTCTGCAGGAAGATGTGGATTACAGTTGATTCTATCAAAAAAAAAAAACTACCTACATACATATATATATATATATATATATATATATACACACACAGACATGACAGAATTGAATAGACGCTCACAGAAACCATTTATTTTATTAAACAAGTAATTTATACAAATGAAGTAATTATAAATGGTCATAAATTTAATAACTAATACTTGGTTGACATCCCTTTTGCTTTTTTTTTAATGCAAGGACCCTTCTAGGCATGCTAGCGATGAGCTCACGAATATCATCTTGAGGGATTTCTTGCCATGTTTGACGCAATAATCCTAAAAGTTCGGGCTTAGAAGATGGCTTCCTGTTCTTTTTGCAGAGTTTTCGATCTAATATGCCCCAAAGGTGTTCAATAGGGTTAATATTCGAGGACTGACTTGGCCATGAATGTTTATTGATCCCATTTTGTCTCAACCAATGTTGTGTTGCTTGAGCAGTGTGACATGGAGCTCCATCTTCCATAAATAGGGAGTCAATTTTGCCCATTCTACTATTTGAGAATATTGGAAGGAGTCCTTTCTTTAATATAGAAACATATTTGGTTAAATTAACGTTTCCTTCACAAGCTCTGAGTGACCATCACTCCAAATTGCACCCCATGCCATTACTGAAAGGCCCCCATGTTTCACCGTTGGCTGCAGTCTTTTTAAATCAAACTCTTGACTACAGTCTCTCCATACCCATACTCTTCCACTCGGAAAATAATGCGAATCTTGACTCATCAGAGAAAATGACAGTGGTCCAAAAGGTCATAGGTCTCTCCACCATCTCATGAGCCCAATCCTTTCTGCGTTTGATATTGGCTGGACGGACAAGTGGTTTCCTTCTCGCAGCTCTGCCATAGTAGCCCAGCTTGTGAAGATACCTGACAGCTGTTCTGGGACTGACATCAACTTGTGTTGCTATGTCAGAGGCCTTGCAACGTGGATCCTGTTCAACATTCCTTTCGGCAAGACACATGGTTCTTTCAGAGGCCTAGGGTGGCCTGGATGAGGTTTTGTGCACTTCTTGCCCTCTCTGGAGAATTGTACGATCACTCTATTAACAGTAGAAAGGAGTATTGAAAGAATTTCAGATATTTTTCATTGACTAAGACCGCCTTCATATTGGCCCATGAT